CTGGCATCCTTTTCAGAGAAAAACTGCCCTTGGCTAAGTAGGAAGGGCCTTCCCAGGCACCTCCATTCTTCTCCCCACTCCTCCCACCAGGGAAGACCATGCTTAATGACTGACTGATAAAGGGTGTGAGAAACTGGCCTCTGCTTCAAGATGGGAATAACTCTGCCAGTACATTTGGTGCTTTCTCATAGGTTTAAACTGAGGCTGATTTCCAGGTGAAATCACATTGTTGCTTGGCTTTTTTCTTCTGCCCTATTTTGCTTCCCATAATTCTTAATTCCTGAGAGTTATCCACCAGCAGATCACTTAAACTAGAATCCTTGTCTCAGGCTCAGCTTAGAATCTGACCAAAGACATATACTAAAATTTATTTTATCAACTTCTTCTTAAATCTGGTTTGTTTCTATATTTCTGGTCTTTAATAAATGGTATCATCCATCTTTTGATCCTCAAGTTTGAAATCCAGAAGTCCTCTTTGACCCCTGCTTGTCTTGTTTCTGCATATCTGTGGTTCTTAAACTTTTTGTCTCTGGATGTCTTTATACTCATAAAAATTATCAAGGGCTTTAAAGAACTTTTGTTTATGTGGCCTATATCTTTCACTATTTACCATATTAGAAATTAAAACTGGAAATATTTTAAATATTTATTATTTAAAAACAATATAAAACTACAGATAAACATGAAACATATTTTTATGAGAAATAACTATTTCTAAACAAAAAATAATAGAAGAATGGCATTGTTTTATATTTTTTCAAAAGTATGTAGCTTAAAAGAGGAGGGCTGGATTCCCATATTGGTTCTGCTTTCAGTCTGTTGCAATATCACCAGTCATGTAGCTTCCATTGGATCTCATGAGAAAATAAAAGTGAAAAGGGCAAATAATGTTTTAGCATTGTTATAAAAATAGTTTTGATGTTGCAGACCCTGTGAAAAGGTCTGAGTCCCTGGACCATGCTTTGAGTACCACTGCTGTACGTCAGTTGCTAAACAGTCCTGTTGATTTTGCAGTAAAATTGTACTTTTACAGATTACATGATATGGAATAAATAAAACATTTCATGTAGTCTTGCATACTCAGAAATTGGATAATTTGGAAGCATGGACTGAGTCTGAATCAGGCTTCTACAACTTGCATACTATGTAATCTTGAGCAAGTTACTTAACCCTTCCCCATATTTCAATTTAGTCATGTATAAAGTAAGACAACAGTAAATTTGAGGTTTATGTGAATTAATACATGTAAAGTGCTTAGAACAGTACCTGGCCCATAATAAGCATTATGTAAATATTAGCTATTGCTATTATTAGTGATAGTAATGAATGCCCTATCAGTGTTAGCTAATGGTAGTCATCACTTTTCCTTTCTACTGCCCGGTTCATCTTTTCTTGCCAGATTTGTATTGCACTATTACTTGGTCTGCCTATTTCCGTTATTTCCTCTTGCCTATTAACGTTCCTTTTATTTTTTTTAAAAATATTTTATTTATTAATTTGAGAGAGAGAGAGAGCACGAATGGGGGGAGGGGCAGAGGGTGAGGGAGAAACAGACTCCCCACTTAGCAGGGAGCCTGATGCCGATGCGGGGCTCGATTCCCAGGACCCGTGAGATCATAACCTGAACCGAAAGCAGATGCTTAACTGACTGAGCCACCTAGGCCCCCCTTAACTTTGCTTTTAAAACATACAATCTTGTTACTTCATTGAGTGGACATTCTGTGAGCTTCTTGATGTCTTTAAGAAAATAACTTAGGGCGCCTGGGTGGCTCAGTCGATTAAGCGCCTGCCTTTGGCTCAGGTCATGCTCTCAGGGTCCTGGGATCGAGTCCCATGTTGGGCTCCCTGCTCAGCAGGGAGTCTGCTTCTCCCCCTGCCCTTCTCCCCACTCGCTCTCTCAATCTCTCTCTCTTGCTCACTCTCTCAAATAAATAAATAAAATAAATAAAACGAATACCTCGCATGAGGTTAAAAAAAAAAAGAGAAAAGAACTTTAGAATATAACCTAGGCCTTTTCCAATATGGCTTGACCTACCTTTTATTTCTTCTCTCTGGTACTTTCTGTAATTCATATCCATTAGCCACTAGGCCTCAACCAGTCTTTTATTATCTTCTTCTGGCACTTTTCTCTAATGCAAAGCCATCCCAAACACACTACCCACTTTTTGTCTATACCTGCCTCTCTCAAGACTATATTTTCCATGTTTGTTTCAGAAGGCTTCCATTAGTTTTCAAAGCCAGCTCAGGTTTCCTCTGTGAAGCCACTTCCTCTGTGAAGTACCCCTAAATGAAATCTTTTATAGTTCAGTAAAATGGGAATTAACTGGGCAACACTGGACATATAGTCACTCTACTTGGAGCAAGAAGAGTTTTTGAAAACCACTCAATCCTAAGCCTGATTTTTAACCAGATCATAAGTAAATCAAGATCCTAAGCAGAGTTCCTTATCATCTATTCAACTTGACTCAGATTTAAAAGAACTCATACTGGGGAGTCATTTATAATTTGTTTGATAGCATACACCCCAGCATGACAATAACTGAGACTCCTGTGTATTAATATGTAAAAATTTAGAGCATTGTTAATCAAGACTTATTTTTCTTTTCCCTGAGAGAAAATTCCAGTATGTGTCAGGGCTTTGTCTTTTTTGTTATTATCAGAGACTCTAGCTAAACAGGCTGTGTTAATCATTTGAAGGTTAAGTTCAAAGCTTTTACTACGATTGGTGTTATCAAAACTGGATGGACAGCATATCTGAACTTTCTCTTTACTATTTCTCTTGAAAGATTGAAAGCAGTTGCTAGAAGATTAATGAGGACAGGATTCTGCCAGCATAAATCACACTGGCTAAAAAAGTTATGCCCAACTCTTAAGAAAGCACAGGTAGACTTTCCTCTCATCCATTTTCCTTCACCTTGCAATTCTCCATCCCCTTGTCCTCCACTCCTTCCAGTCAAAAGAAATGCTTGATTGTAACATAGAAAGTCTAAACTTTTCAGTTGGAGATAGAGCTTTATATTTGAATTGAGAAGTATTTCAGTTGAAGATAGACCTTTGTATTTGAATTAATACTGTTCTGCAGTATTAGTGACAACTTTTGGAAAAATCATAGATGCTAATAAGCTACAACTCACATGTTAGAGAAAAATCTGTCAAATAAAAACTAAAATTATCAGTAGTACCGATCACTTTGTAATAATTGTGGTATAGTTGGGACTGCCATTAAAAACAATGATTTTATTTATTTTTAAAATTTGTTTTTACTTTTGAAAAGAAAATAAGTGATATGGAGCAAAGTTTAGATCACTTGCTACTTTGTTTATTGACTTATAAAACGTTTTTGGGCTCCCAGTGTAACTAGATATGATGCTGATACCTGGGATGCAAAAACAATAGACCTTTCTCTTTAACAGGATTGCCTGTTTGTTGTACCCCCCACCCCAATAGATTCTAAGTTGTAAATTCTATGATAGTGGCAAATATGGTGATTTTTGATTATACAAAATATATTTATATAAATCTAATTTTTAAAATATATAATTTAAAATCATCCTATGGCACTTAAGAATGGCAATAATCAGTATCAAAATGCATAATAGCAGTTTTATTATGAGGTATTGGCTGGTGGCTGGTATTAGGTGACAGCAATTAATAGATTATTGGTTGTCTTCTCTAATAATGTGTTTGAATTTTATTTTCTTCTGTAGCAGTGCTGTTCAAGAAGACATTTTGATAAATGAAATGTTCTGTATTTGTGTTATCTAATAGTAGCCACTGAACACTTGTGGCAGTTGAACATTTCAGATGTGGCTAGTGTATTGAGGAACTAAAATTTTAGTTTTATTTAATTTTAATAAATTTAAATTTAAATTGCAGCATATGACTAATGGCTACTGTTTTGAACAGTGCAGATCCATAGTATCATTAGCTTCCATTAGCCAGTGGTAACAGTTGAATTACTGTTAGATTATTAGTCTCATTTTATTCTTGCAGGAGCCAATTTTCAGAATTTTATTTATAGATACCTGTAATCAAGGCATTGACTTGTCCTTAAAATTAAATTAAATTAATATTTTTTCAAAGTTCTATTAGAAGGTGAGCTTTTTTCCTTTTTACTGCCAACATAGAGATGGCTACAAGATTCATTATAAGGAGTGAATCATTGTCACTTATCTCAGTTTTCATTTGGATCATATTATCTCATATTCATTTGGATCACTTATCTTCACATGTATTGAATGGGCAAGAGGACCATTCAGGCTACTGAGGGAAGTAGCAGGTGGTAGGGATCAGCCACTGAGTGACAATTGTCTGATGTCATGTATGGGAATAAATGGAATGAGTGGAATCTCTATTCAGAATTTAAGTTCCTGATAATTTGGAGGAGGAGCAAGCTAATGGAGCATAAGCTACCAAAAGACACTTGCAAAGTTATGGTTACTTAAAAAATAGGATAAATTAAGGCAGATACAAAGTGGGACTTACTCTAGAAAGTATATCAGAATTGTATGTGAAATGACGAAGAGAATGTTATTGTAAGAACTTTTAATTAATTTAAAAAGAAATTAATGATCAAATATAAATAGCAAAAAAATGCAGCAATTTTTATAGCAAGAATATTTTCTAATTAGGATAAAACTGCAGTTGCCTTTTTTCAGCTATGCATACTCTTTTTAATACTCATAATTCAATCTAATAATATTAAACCTTTGTTTTTAGGAGATTCATTCTTACTTTGAGGAAGTGAAAGTGAGCAGTTTTAAGACTCCAGGGATCCTTGATTAGGAAGCTCTAGTAGAAGCTTGTCAGTAGAGGAATATTTCTCTGAGGCTGAAATCCAGCTATTTTGTCTAAGAGTCTGTTTGACTCCTTTTAGACTTTTAGCACCTTGAAGTTGATTCTGTCTTATACTTCCTCCGTGACCCTCCATGTGCCTTTTTAGAGAGACTGTTTCTCTCTGACTTTCTATTGACACCCTAAAAATCTTTATTTCTGTCTAGGGTGAGCCCATCACTTTCTGTGAGGAGAGTTTTGTAAAGCACCGCTCAAGTCTGATGAAACAGTTCTTGGAAACTGCAGTTAACCTCCAACTTTTCAAGCAGGTAAGAATGGACCTCCACATTTCCTTCTGTAACAGATTACAGAAATGTAACAGAAATGCATAACACATTTTTATCACTTTTATCAAAAGTATGTCAAAACCCTGAGTAATGTCTGTTTTAGAATTACAAGAAAGTTTTCTTTCTTTTGTAACTCTATAGTTATCTATGGAATGGCACTCCAGAAAATTATGTAAAAGTAACTTTGTTATTAAAAAATTCGCCATTGAAAGTGCTAGTCTGAGGAAGAGTATTCATTCATACAGTTATGAAACCAACATGATTAGTTTCATGTAAGACATCTAGGAGTTAGTTTGGTATGATTGGTAATAGTTAAGCAAACTATTTTTTGTAGGACAGTCCTAATGTAATCCAGTTTATAAAAATAGATGTCATAATTATACATTTAAAATTCAGAAAAAATTCATAGTCATACTATGTATCTTAATTTTGGGCTCAGAATATGTAAATGCCATTTCAAAAAGCAGGTATCTTAACATCAGAATTCAGAATGTTTAGAGTACTAGTTCTTTCATTCCAGTGTGTGATCATAGCAAGTCTCTTAATTCAGGCTTATCTTAGTTTCTGTTTATGTAATTTAAATTAAGTTCTAAACATTTTCTTTTCTTATTCCACATGATAATTTAAATGTAAAGTTACTTATGTGAATTCAACACTTAATGAAGACCTACAATGGGCCATAAACTGCTCAGGGCCCAGATACAAATATGAATAACAAATTCAATAATGCCCTTGAGAAGCTGAAAATCTAATAGAATCCTTTGGGCCATTCGGAGAAAAGATACCATGTAACATACTTGAGATAAGCTTAAAGATTTTTTTTTTTTTTTTTTTTTTTATAGTTTTTTTTTATTCATTCGAGACACAGAGATACAGAGAGAGAGAGAGAGCATGAGTTTTGGGGGAGAGGCAGAGGGAGGAGGAGAAGCAGGCTTCCGGCCAATCAGGGAGCCCGATGCGGGGCTCGATCCCAGGACTCTGGGACCATGACCTGAGCCAAAGGCAGATGCCTAACCATCTGAGCCACCCAGGCGCCCTGAGATAAGCTTTAAATTAAACAAGTCATTTAATTTGATGGTGATAAAACCAATACTATTATCTATATTCTGAGGAACTTCTAAAAAATAATTAGAAAATACTCTGGCGGGGGGGGGGGCTATAACTGCCTTCTAATATGTGAAGGTTTACCTCAAAGAAAGAGTTAGATTCATCCAACACCTAGAAGAAGCAGAATCAGGTTTGATAGGTTTCAGGGTCCAAGATGTTTTGTGAATTTCTAAAGATGGAATGGGTTACTTTTAGTGCTCTGTCTCTGGAGGGCTCCAATATTAGACTGATTGCTTCCTAAGGTTGTATGAGGATCATGGGATGGTCTTTATAAATGCTGACGTATACAGCACGGTGTAGTCCTACTAGTCTTCTAGTGCATGCTTGTTGAGTTAAATCGCAGTACCCTTTTCGTATTTTTATCTGTCAAGGAGAGATAGTACTACTGCCCATTGTCAAAACTGAATTGTGAAGATTAGATTATATGGGGGTTAAGAATTGAATGGGTAGGTAGAATATCTAATTTATTGCTTAACCTTTGACCATGAGAATGTAACTAAAGGCTTTTCATTAGATGTAATTAAGACACAGTAATTTATATACTTACAAAATGCTTGTATTTTTTAGGAATCAGATAGAATTGGGTTAAATCTTGGCTTTATCACTTAATAGCTGTTTGTTCATAAGTATCTGTTTATTTTTCTTTAAAATAGAAATACCACCTAACAGGGTTGTGGTAAAGTTTATGTGAATTAATACATGTATACCTCAGCACAGTGCACAACACTTTGTAGAAGCTTACTAGATTTTAGTGTCTGCCTCATTTTAGAGCAATTATATTAATAGAATACAAATCTATGCAGGATTTTTTAAAAATAAAACTTGGTCAAAAAAGTTAAATGTAAAATATTAAAACGGTCAGTTAAAGTAGAACCCATTATATAGACACTTAGATAGTTTTACATGCACCGACTGACCATATTCTCAAACTTGATATTATTTTATGATCCTTAAGAAATGATACTTGAAGATAGACCTGAAAGAATTTAAAAGATTCCTGTAAACAGTTTCACAAACTTCTAAAGATGAGTAAGTTCCAGAGATTCACTATACAACATAGTGCCTATAGTTAACTATTATCTTATTGTGTATTTAAAACTTGTTAAGAGGGCGGGCGCCTGGGTGGCTCAGTCGTTAAGCGTCTGCCTTTGGCTCAGGTCATGATCCCAGGGTCCTGGGATCGAGCCCCGCATTGGGCTCTCTGCTCTGCGGAGAGCCTGCTTTTCCCTCTCCCACTCCCCCTATTCCCTCTCTCGCTGTGTCTCTCTCTGTCAAATAAATAAATAAAATCTTTATAAAAAAAATTAAGAGGGTATATCTCATGTCGGTTTTCTTAGCACAAACAAAAATACAAAGGGATGCAAGGAGGTGTTGGATATGTTTATTACCTTGATTGTGGTGATTATAGCAGAAGTGTATACATATGTATAAACTTACCACATTATCTGCATTAGTTATGTGCAGTTTTTTTATTACCAATTACACTATGTTAAAGCTTGGGGGAAAAGGAGAAGAAAAACAAAAATAAGAATCAGTTAGTAAAAAATTATCAGCAGATGAAGCCTCAAAGATACTATTGCTCTTTCTGAAAGAATATAAAAATATTTATTAGGTAAAAATGATTACTATTCATTATTATGAATTTGTGATCCATTATAGGTCAAGAACACCTCGGGTTCTCTCTTTATTCAGCAATGCTTATGCATCAAAATCGAGATCCAGCAGAGCAATGTATAATTTTAAGAGTTAATTATTTCTTTTTTTTTCCTTTTCTTTTCTTTCTTTTCTTTTTCTTTCTGTTATTTCTTTTTTTTTTTTTCCTGATAATATGGCAGGAAGGATTCAGAGCTAACTTATGTACTGAAACAACTTTAAATGCAGTATTTAAAGAACTTTTTTGTGGTGGGGACACAGGAGACAAAGCCCAGTGCTTACTTCCCAAGTTGAGAAGTGTATTAGGAGACCCTACTCCCACAAATCTGGGATGACTTAGTGTAAAAGTAAACAAGAAATAAGGTTGCTCCTTCCCTTAACTCATCTCCTGGTGATTGTACCTCTGAAGCACTGGTACTGCGTGGAGGGGAGGAAAAAGTGCTGCTGAGAAGTAAACACACCACCCTGTTACAGGAATTTGAAGCCTGAATTAATAATTTCAGATTTGGTCTGACGCAACTCAAGCCAAGTTTAAAGTGATCCTAAATTGTTAGCACTGTCAGGCCCTAGGCAGAGGTAAACACACATCTTCTCTTGAGGAATCCAGGCACCAAAGAATTCTCCCAGCTATAATTCCAAGAAAAATTTCACTGTTAGAAATTATTAAACATACAAGGAAACAAATCATGAATGAGAATTAGCAGAAACAGCAGACAAAAATTGACTTGGAAAGACTTTAATTATTGGAATTATCAAAAATAGAACATAAAATAGCTATGCTTAAGATGTTCAAAGAAATAGAAGGTAAGCTTTAAAAGTGTTCAGGATATAAAAACATTCAAGAAGTGGAACCAATTTTAAGAATGTAGCAAATATAATTCTGGTAGGAAACATGTAATTGAAATGAAAGGAAATTGATGGGTTTAACAGCAGATCAGATCTAACTGAAGAGAGATTTGCTAAATTGGAAGATATATCTGAAAAAGAAATTAGCCAGAGATAATGCAGAGAAATGAAGAAATAGAGAATATAAGAGAGGTTAATAGACATGTAGGGTAGAGTTGAAATGTCTAAAGCCATCTAATCAATTCTAAAAGGAGAGGACAGAAAATGGAGAAGAGGTAGTAGTTGAAAGGACAATGCCAGAACCAATAAAATACAACACTTTATAAATTTAAGAAGTCCAACGTATCCAAACTGAATAAATAAAAAGAAATCTATAGCCACACCATATATTCAGCTCTAAAGCATTAAATAATAAGGGGAAATTTTAAAAACAACAAGAGGGGCAAGAAAGATTACCTTCAAAGGAGCAGTATACGGACAGCTGGCTTCACATCAGCAATCCAGAAGATACTGCCATATCTTCAGTGTGCTGAGAAAAAATATCTAGACTCTTATGGCAACTAAAAGACATCCTCAGGGCGCCTGGGTGGCTCAGTTGGTTAAGTGTCTGCCTTCGCCTCAGGTCATGATCCCAGCGTTCTGGCATCGAGCCCTGCATCGGGCTCAGTGCTCAGTCGGGAGCCTGCTTCTCCCTCTCCTTCTCCCTCTGCCTGCTTGTCTGCCTACTTGTGATCTCTCTCTCTCTCTCTGTCAAATAAATAAATAAAATCTTAAAAAAAAGACATCCTCATTGTAAGAGTGATATAAAAACATTTCCCCCCAAAAAACTGAGTTTGCCCCTTGTGTTGTTGGCTTTATTGATGTGTCTACTTGGTTAGGATAAAATCCCCAGTTACTTAATCAAATGCTCCTCTCAGTGAAGGTGTTTTTACATGTATAATTAAAACTTCTAATCATTTGACTGTAGATAATCTAGGTAAGCCTGTCTGAGTCAGGTGGAAGGCCTTAAACTCAGAACTGAGGTTTCCCTGGGAGAGAGAAGAAATTCTATCCATGGATGACAGCTTTGGCCTCTGCCTATGGATTCAGCCTGCTCATAATTTTTCCTTCCTGTTACCTCTCCTATGAATTTCAGACTGGCTTTGCTAGCCCCCTAATCATGTAAACCAATTCCTTGTAGTAAATCTCGTGTATGTGTGTATGTGTGTGTGTGTGTGTGTGTCTACCTATCTATCAAATCTCCTACTGGTTCTGCTTCTTGGTTGAACCCTGACTACTACACCAATAGCAGAAAGAAATCCTTACGGGAGTACTTTAAGAAAGTACTTCAGGGAGAAAGAAAGTTTTCTCAGATCCAGATGGAAGGTCTGAGATGC